TGCTGCCACAAGTCGCGAACGCGGCCAGAATTTTGGAGGGCTGCCTCGGGGCCGTTACGGAAATAGACCACGATCTGTCCGCTTAGTCCCGATAACAGGACTTCTGTAGCCAAGCTCCAGTTGAGTGGCGCGCTCCTAATATTGAACAGTGCGCTCCAGTACAACGTGGATTACGGTGATTAGTCCCGATAAAAGGACTTCTGTAGCCAAGCTCCAGTTCAGTGGTGCGCTCCAGTATAACGTGGATTATGGTGAGACCAATTCACCCATACTGATAAAAATTCTTACATATCAGGGGCCATATAGGCTTTTGCCATGAAAAATTCGTTGTCTTAATTTTTAGACTAAGTCATTTCAAACTAGAAATATTACCTGCGCACGATAGGCTAGCTCCATCGTGAGATTTTGCATGTGTGATTCATCTGAGAAACCGAAAGCCATTCGACATCATCACACTTTTTTGAAATAACCTGTAAACAACTTAGCTACACAACAGAAACTAGAGCCCAAAATTAGAAAAAATAATGAACTTGAATAGGTAAGAATAAATATGGAAAAATATGGACATGAAAAATACAACAAGTTAAGTTTCTTTCGGAAATTTGCGAAATTTCATGATTAGATAAGCCTTCGCAAAATTATTGAGACAAACTTCAAATTCGGGTCGATCTGCTTCGAGAACGCGAACTGTGCGGCTGCTACGGCCCCACCCGAGTGGCCCATAATGGCGACGTTGTTGGGATCACCTCCAAAATGGTGAATTTCCTTCTGAACAAATTGCAAAGCAGCCAGAAGATCTGCAAAGAACTAGATTTTGTTTGGTTCGTCGACAACGCAAAAATCGTTACCGTATGCCGCCTAGGTTTCTTGGAACGATGTCATCCGAGGCGAAAGTCAGTAGGCCGAAAAATCCGAGTCGCACTCCAGGGATCACCAGAACAACTCCTAAAGAAAAAAGAGGAGGATGAAAGTGATGTGCGACTCAATGACTAGAAATCTACCGTTTCCTCCAAAGTTGTTGACCAGCGCCTCGTCCTTGAACATCACGGCCGAGTCGTAGTTGAATCCACCACCGTGGATGTAAAAAACCACGGGGCACGATTTTTCCTGAAAACAACATCAGATTTAAAGGAACACCCTCAGATTGGAATTGTGGATGCTGACAAGGGGGGTCTTTCAGGGCAAGCCTACGCTTTTTCAAAACGGTTTTTGCATATTGTAGGGACGCATGTAGGGAACACAAAACCATGTTTCATTTTCGCTGAACGGTTTAACAGTACCGAAAAGAAGATTTCACAGACACAAAACCTGATTGAATACTGCGGATTAAGAATGTAATTCACCAGACAGTCAGCACCAGCAAATATGTTGAGGTGTAGGCAGTCCTCATCTACCCATTTTTGTGGACTTGTCGTTGTTGATGAATTTGACATACAAGCAGGTCCATACTCTGTAAAAATAATGATACTTTTTTGTATCGAGCATTGGGCAGCGCAGGGATTCATTTCAAACCCACCTGTCGCGTCCCAGACGCCATCCCATTTCTGTACTTCTTGTGGCTTCTGGAATCGCAGTTCTCCAACAGGCGGTGTAGCATAAGGAACTCTCTGGAAGTAATCTACACTACGATTTCTTTCTCCTCGCTTTGGAAAACGAGATTCTGTCCCCACCCCACAAAAGACATTCTTTCCATTGTGAAATGGTATGGATATGTTACTTCGTTGAGAGTGAATGGGTTTCGGCAACGGGGAAGTGGTTAAAAAATTTAGAGCCGCTACTTTCAAAGAACCGTAACACGGGTCGGTGAATATTTCATGAGACGGGGCGGGTAGAATTTAAGCTGCAGCTCATGGTGAAATTGCTTACCCTGGTAGCGCAAACTTGAAGCGCTGTGTGCTAGGCAAAGCAAGAGGTGGCAGGGTGTTCGAGTTGCCGCCTGTGGTGCAAGTTTTTGGTCATATCAGCGATTATTAGACGATAGGTTTGTCAGTTTTTATAAGATTCTATCGATGGTATCGTAGGTGTTGGTTTGGGATCTATTCACTTCTAATGCGCCGCCCCAAATTTTCATCATCGGGATAATTGAGTTTGGAGGCGAAACTGCAGTGGATAGTAGGAAGAGAACTCAATGATGGGCAGTGACTCAGATCTGGACTCGTCCCACAATCACGCTTTACAGACGGACTATAATATGGAACTATGGGACCAGGCAGGTAGAGTTAGCAACACACGATATCATCTGATAATCACAAGCTTCAGAGCAGACGTGATATCGAATTCCCTCAGGACGTCGTCACATGTATTGCTGAGACTGCAATCATTACGTGCCAGCGTAAAATTTGTGCGAGAGGCAAGTTTTATATGGGTTTTTTGAATGAAAAGGGAAAACACAGTGCCTATCGGCAACAGGTGGGTGCCGGTGGCGGGGTTTGGCGGGGAGAAAAGACTTTAGGGCACCATTTTTCATTTCGCCTGTATTTGGCCTTCGTTTTAGGCTTATTCTAAAAGGCCGTCCCCGATATTGCGATTAGTGACCACTGAAAAGGATACTCATTGCCTTGAAAATATTCCAGGCTTTCTGTTGGAGCTATTGTACTGATTGCCACAACAAGTGTACCCGGCGAATTTCTTCACCGACTGACACTGCTTGCCGTAATAGAGTGAAGCGTTAAAAATAAAACAAAGGCTGATGGGAGCAGCCACATCATTGATTACGAAACGGTTTTGCGGTTTTGGGTTCCAGTCAGATCCTCCTGCAATGATTTTTTTCTTCAACAGCTGGAACAAGTAAACAAAAGGCAATAAATAAACAATAGGCAATAATAAAGGATAAACAATAAATTTGTCCAAGAACTCGAGTATCAGTGATCACGTGGGTATCATTATCAATGCTCACCTCTCTAAAGCTTTAAACGAAAATAATAGCTGAATGGTCAAAAATAGAAGACCTTGAAGTCACTTATGCCTTAGGGTAGGTTATTGATCGAAAATCACATTCAGTGATAATACAGATGGGTTGAAGGTGATTGGAGACAACGGGAGGGGACAACACGGGGAACACTATCGCAGTGGGGCACCGTGATAACGAAGCTCATGACCTCAGCACACCACAAAATAGGCCGTTCTCTGATGGAAACTTCGAACTCGGGTAGTTCAGAAATACAACATGACCATTAACAGGGATCCATACTCGTTCTATAGGCTATTAGACAGAGATTGACGTACATAGTTTTCGATTATCAAGAAAATGTACTACTAAATTTAAGGCTATTTTCAGGGTTATTAGTAAAATAAAGGGGGCAACTCATTTATTGTTAATCAGTTCCTTTCTCGAATGTGCCATGCATCCTGAGTTCCAAGTAGCATTTTTAATGTGACGTGACTAGTCTATGTGTGCGGAATTGCTGGCCCGCCGATGTATTAGGTTGAGCAAAAATTATCCGCCGTTTTTTCAGGCTCATGGTTCTTTGATTTTTTGCTGATTATTTTCAAAGACTATGATGTAGTCTGAAAGCGCGCAATTGGAGCTTACATCAGTTAAAAGATTGCCCCTGCTACATGAGTGCAAGTTGAGCTCGAAACCGAATGCTTCTGCATCTGCTCGTAGAATCAATGAAGCCTGGGATGAAGGCACGGTTGCAGAGAGGACTGTTCGAGAGCGTTTGTTGATTACGCATTTATTGTTGTTTTTGTTTGGTTTTGTTAATAAACTTATGAGTGAAATGAAAACGGCGGATAATTATTGCTCAACCTAATATAACAGCGAGTATGGAAGTCGACCGAGGGGATTGCAGCCGACTGAGCAACCGCCGCTACTTCGAAGCCGTTCAGCCTCTTTCCAGTGGCTTTCCAGGGAGAATTTTTTGTTTAAGCACACCTCTTCTGTTCTTAACTAGGCTAGCCAATCCTTTCAGCACGCCCATTATGCGAGATAAAAATCCTACTGAAATGGGTTGCTTTTAAGGCCGATGTCATAGTTCGAACCGTCAGCCGGTACTGAACGACGTGTGAATCGAAATTTGAGCCACAATCGACCGATGACCACGAGCTCGCTACTAACCACGCAACATTGACACTTGCTGAAAGTGCGAGACCCAACGTTTAAAAGGACGTCCTTGCTTTCAAAAACCGGCACTGTTGAAAGTCGGCGGACTCCTTAAACGTTGGTCCGCGCCACTTCAAACGTCGCCGTTGAACTACTACACTGTGACCCACAGCGATCTCTGCCGTTGACCTCAGAGCCCTCTGTGAGCAAACAATCCCCACTGGACCACGCATTTGTCCCAACGATCACAGAGCTAACTCACCCCTCCTAAACATTGAATTCTAAACGAGCCCGCTCTTTGACTTCCAACGCTCAAAAAACACTGGCATCCCTACCCTTCCCAGCCATCTACTGTGGGATCCGCAAAATAAAAATACATAGCCTCCTCAATTTGATCACCCTGTACGGGCTTGACGACACCACAGGGCAAGCACCACCCTGTGGTGACGCACATTACGGCTAGGGACTGATCGACCCAACCACTTATTGTGAAATTAAACCAAAAAAAATAAAGTAAGCCATAAAGTAAAAGTGTTAACCTTAAAGTATAAAGTAAGGCCTGATAGAGGCGATATGGTTTCTAATAAAACACCTGCAACTTTTCGAAAGAGTAATATCTTGAAAACAAAAATGTTAGTCTTCTCTTAAAGGTTCATAAACAAATAGCAGAAATACATCTCAGAATTCCAAATAATATTGTTATTTATAAAATTCGAATAAGGGAATCATTTCAAATTGGATCCTTTGTTCATCACACAAAACCGCTAAGTAAATAACAGAAATGGAATAAATGGAGAGATCATAAGTACGTGGACATATGCTGCTGAGCAGCTAACGTTGGCCTTTCGTCTTGTCAAGTCCTCATCGAACTCCTTCATTGTTCTTCCAGTAACTCGATCACTTTTTTGCCATACCATCTAGCCATGGAACCATGCGTTATCGTACGTGACAATCAATATCATGAATTGTCAACCTCCTCGAGAGGGTCCAGTCTAATCGAACTAGTCACTCAAAAATTTTGCACGGACTATCCACTTCGAAGGCAGTGAACACCGATTGTTGAAGGTGGACCAGCATTATGACGTTGTTGGGAGTCAAATGGTGGAACAACACCTTTTGTGGGGATGAGACAGCACTTTCGAAGGCCCTTTCCCCTGCTGATGGCCAGCGACGTGATCAAATCGCTTCATCGCGTTTATTGCCTTAAAGGCAAAAGTCAGGCTCGTGTTTGGGCATTATGGCGCCTGAAATTGAGTGTAGAGATGGGAGGTGGAACGACAGTGAAGAAAAAACGCAAAGAAACCGTCGACAAGACCGAAATCGAAACCCTTTCCTTCTAGCAGTGAAGGAGGCTTGCTCGGGGGAGAGCCACGTCCAAACGAGTTTTCCGGATATGCCAGCCGTTCCATCGGTTGATACGGCAATCAACCTAGCTGATCTCACACGTTAGGCCAGCCACGCACCACATCCCGCGGTGGGCGGGACCAGCTGATGTAACAAACCCATCGCTATAAGTTGTAGGCCAGAAACCTTGACGGCGCGCAATCTCGAGTCAGGAGTGCGGCACAACCCCTCTGAGCGCATCTTGGAAATTTTAGTGATGGAAAGGCCTTCTATGGTCACCTAATCCTGACTCTGCTTAAAGATTGGTATGTGATACCTTAATGGCTCTCTACTTAATGAATCCAAATTTGCAAGAAAACCGCGATTAATCATCCAGTATTCGGGTAACGCCACGTACCGCGTTGCTTCACTATCTTGCAATTCTATGCTGCATTATCTCCAACATAATCTTTTGCTTCGAATTACGATTCAGCATACAGTAAGGTGCAGGGATATCTATCACACGGGTTTTGTCCACCAAGTATCTCTAGTATGAAAGATTCTTTGAACTCGGGTATACCAGCCCGGCCGTGACCATGAAAATGAGATTTGCCTTGCTCATAAAGTTCCAACACTTGCACTTGCGCCTCACCGTCGAATTGAATATCTATGCCAGAAAACCTAGTTTGAAACCTTTCCGGCTATCCAACTAGCAAGCAAATACATACAATGCGCACACTAAAGTCTTCCGGTGGAATCTCTTTCAAGCGTAACTTTCTCCCGCAATCATGCAAAATCCACCGAACCTGCAGTATTATCATTACGTATTGTGATCCCTGCTGCTAATTTGTCCGCTAAATGTCGCTTTTAGTTCCCGTACTTAAGGTGATGAGATCAAACTCAAGATCAGTGCGGAACACGGATAGCATAGGCTTAGGAAAAACCATTTTATTCGAGATAACAAAATGCAATATACTACAAGCATCAATATTTTGTAGGAAAACCTCGACTACTGATGGCAGCGGCGCAGCGCGAAGGCATCGAACCGATAATTTTTTGGATGGTAGACATTGGCATGGCGTACCACTCTTTCACTAGTTCAGCGAACTTTTCTTCTTTGTTTTTGCTATATTTGCCGGAACAACGTCTTTTGAGCTCTTCCCACATGTGCTCTATGGGATTTAGATCGGGGGATTGGCTTGGCCATTCAAGAAGTCTGACTTGCACAGTTCCACCGAAGACTTTTGTCGTGCCTTTGAGTTTCAGTGATTTCCTGCTGAAATGTAAATCATTGTTTGTGTAGGTTAGGCAATTCGTTCAAGGAGAGGCATTCGCTTCTCATAATAGGCTGATTATCATCTTTTATGTAAGTGGTATGAAAACGAGGCCATCTACAACTGCAAAAATTCAACCGGCGTGCATACCATTTATCGCCTTCGAAGAAATCCTTTCCAAAAAATTATGATTCTATCTCACCATAAATCACTGGCTTGAGACCCATCGTTCACGATAAGAACGAAAAGAACAAAAAATTGCATTTGTTTTGGTAAACAATTCGAAAAACCGGAAGGACTGCTACGCGTTCAAATTCCCGCCGGACATCTGTCACAAATGCTGGCGGCGGGAACGCTTCCACTTGGTTCACGGAGTGCTGTCACTAGAAACTCTTTTTGCCTTTTGACTTATTGCATTAACATCTCACACTTCTACTGCATCCTATTCTATCGATCGATTTGTCTCTACTCTCCAAAATCGCATTAACCCGATTCTTTCATTGCGTCGCCTGATACGTAGCCGCCCCAAGGCGACTTCTTTCCATGCCCCGCCTTTGGCTCGCGCCACTTACCTTCGATTGTCCATAGAGTGTAGTGTTCTTAAATATTGTTTCACTTTTTATGTTGGCACTGGTGATCACTGATATACAAAAAATGCAAAAGTTTCCCAGGAAGGATTCCTTCGATTATGTGATCCTGACAGGAAAATGAGGAAAGGCTTGCGTTTGACTCAGTAGAGGTGGCCGTATTGGAGGGATATGCTGTACATTTTTTAATTAGTTTTTTAGGAGCTTTGAAAAATGCTCAGAAATCGGCGCTGCTTCTGCTGCTATGGATATTTCCTCCTGCTGAGTTTATGGATTATTTGGTGAGCAAGGGGGTAAGAATATCGTTGAAATAGAGAAGTAGAGAGCACAATGAGATCCACTGGAATGAGCGTTGTTTTGGCTAGAATGTCATCGACAGGTGCAGGTTTGGATGGTCATCAGAAGGCTGCAGGGATAGCCTGCGAAAATTTGTGATCGATGGGGATAGACGGGATTCAAAGTGTTTGGCCCCAATGTGTTCGAATAAGTTCAAGCGTGAATCCACCTTGGCGCGGTTTCCCAGTCTTGATGAAATCCATGAAGAGTTTCGGGTAGATCTCCGCGAGTACTTTCTCGTTTGCGTCAGGCTCAAACGCATGAATTCCCATGATATACGAGAGATCGTCAGTATGGCGAGAGTGACGGGAGTTCTTATAGGAGTAGAGATATACCTACAATGTCCAATTCGAGGCTATTATCAAATGTAATGGCAATGTGATCCTTACCTCACCTCCAGCGGCTCGCATCGAGTGTGCGACCACGTAGGTTGAAAGGAAAATGGCCTGCGTAGCGGTGGTGTGATTGAAAACTGAAACAGCTGCAGTCAATCAAATCTTTGGAACTCGTAACCTTACATGTCGGTAATCTTATACGCAGAGTGGGCGCCAATTATTTGGCCTAACAAAGTGGCGAAGCCCTTTCCACTAAGGCTGTTTTCTTGTTTTCGTGCATAACAATACGAATATCTTCTTTCTAAACCTAGTAATACAACATTTTCAAAAATGAAATCAAATCATCAAATTTCGATGGAACACATTCTTGCATAGCAGTTAACATCCCTCTTTAGTATGACATTCATTAAACAAAAGGATCAACACTCTCATGATACAATCCCTTTTGGGCACGCATTCTACTTCCATTTGTACATTCGCAGTGGCGTTTGAATGCGATGTGGCCTATACAATGACTTGCGGGGGCCAGCCGATACAAGTCAGTGTTTTTATCCTCCCAGACAAGTCTGGTACCAATTAACCGACCCCGGAGGGATGGAAGGCTTGGTTGGCCCGGGCGACTCACGACCCAGGATTTGATCCCGGACCGCTCGCGTGGTAAGCGTGCCACTTGCCACTACACCACTTCCGCCCCTGGTACCTAGTCATGGAGCAAAAATTCTGCAAAAAACATTTCTCGAGTTCATAGTAGTCATAGTGAGAACGACTAGCTACCTAGGGACACCTACCGATGAATCTTCTATATGGTAAATTTGAAGCAAAAGCAGCTATGAAGGCCCAAGAACTTTGATTCCTTGTAGAAGTTCCAACAGAAAATTTGGTATTATTCGGCGTGTCCTACTAGCGTGGCACCGTGCAAGCCTTCTCTCCCGGTCTGAGTGCTTGTGTTGAGGTTATAACACTTCCAATCCCAACCTTATTTTGTTTTGCGTGACATGAGTGACCGAAACGTTTTTGAATGTTGTTTGTTTCATTGGGCTAATATCCGTTTCTGATGGTATAATGACTTGGTTAGTATAACGTTGGTCCACCCTATTCATGGAAATCTTGCAGCTGCATGTACATTTCGTAGAAGGCACTTGGACAAGGAGGCTGCGCTTTTATCTCGAAGGCATAACCCAGATTTACGTCGATGCGTCTAAGCCCCAGAGCGAAAAAGGCTTATGGGTCGGCAAGCGTTCGGTTTCTACCGATTTTGCGGTACGAAAATGCCAAGCAAGACGTCAAGGCCTTGGGATTCGCATGGGGTTCCTCCGGCATCCGGGGATCTGCCCACGAGGTGACAACAGAGGCCAACTCTGCTCTCGCTTGCATTCACGATATCTCGTCACGACTCTTTTTCCCTCTCCACGGCGTTGGGTAAAGCCTATCTCGCTCTCTGTTCTTATGCTTAGGAAATTGCAGCCTAAAGGGATTGGCATCTACCTCGAGGTTTTTAATAGTTTCATTTTTTCTCCATTTTATTATTAGTCCAAATCGCTACGCTACCTTCATTTTCAAGCACAATAACCAGACCGGCGTGATCTCGGGGCGTGCCTTTTGAATAGTAACTAATAAGTAACTAATAACTAATAATAACTAATAATAATAACTCACGTAGTTTCCTGCCAAACAAATCTTTGCGATATTTGTCCGTGATTTCATCAGTGTGCTTTATTCCTAACAAGGAGATGATGGCTCCTTCATTCGCAATTTGAACCATATCAAATTCGTGCAGTGTCGAGCCGACCATGATAGATCGTAAGGGGAGGATTTTGAAGAAAATCTTGCAAATTTTCAGCGTCGAATAGCGGTGCTGTCATAACAAAACCTGTAGGTGTATTTCGTAGAAGATCTTCCTCTTCCATTTCCTCTCTGGATCCTTAACACGTAAAAAGTCATCAATGATCAATCAGAGAATGAAAAAGGATACCGTAATAGCTCAAAACCGTCCAGCTTCTGGAGACATTGGACAACCATCTTGGTGACAGCGTCAGAAGAAGAAACAGAAGTTCTTGAGTGGGCACTGAAAAGTGAATCATCTATTATTTCCTAGACCCACTTAGCAACAATTAATACCTGCCAAGGTTCAGAATTTGCAGCTTCGAATTCTAAGATTTATCGAGCAAAATCTGCCGATACCTTTTCCACTCTGAGCTTTCTGAATCCTTGCAGTCTCGGGTATGTTGGTTTTGTAAATGCTTGTTGTTTATCTTATCATCACTCGAATTAAGTTCGCGTAATGTAGGAGGGGAGGGGGGGGGTAGGAACGGAAAACCATTCGCCCTTAGCCGCAAATTAATCGGAAAATTCTTCGCACACCGGTGCCTACCGTTGATAAAAAAGTCGTTGCCTCACCGTTTTCGAACACGACAACCATCCACCACATTCGTCCGAGCTGTTGCTTTGTCCAAGCCCATAGGGCGGCCCAATCGGCTGTCGAATGTTTACAGAAAAATTCATTTCTCCTTTACCTAAACATTACCTGAAATCCAATTGAACAGAAAACATCTACTTACAAAAAATAGCCCAGCATGTGCTCAGTTCCACTCAGTACATTGATCCTCGCCGGTACCCGAGCTGGAGCTAAATCATGCGACGAGAGAGAGAAGTGAATATAGGATTAATGAAAGCAATGGCGCTTCACGCTTTTTTGGCACACACTGGGACATGGCATTCACGTTGCGCGTCTCTGAAACGAAGCAAGCCTGTCGTCTCATTGTCCCACAAAGTGCGTTTCCTCGAGCTCAAACTGGAAGTAGTCGAATCAAGAGTGCATGGATTATTGGAATAAGTATCTGAATGTCACAGGCCAGATCAAACCATGGCATCTAACGAACGCCGAAAAGTGAAGTTGCCATTTTCTTCGCAAGGAACACCCACTCCATTTCCCTTGAAGGCAGATTGCCGGCGTTGAGGAACGTCCAGGATGCTCGTCGACGTATGCCAGTGCCCACCCAGGCATACGCCATGCATCGACGAGATCAAGGGGTGATGCCAGATTGCCCCATGGGCAGGAACTGCGGTGGAAGTGTAACTATCAACCAAACGTGCCGCTTGCTATCATCTCGAAGCTGTCTCCAAGTGGGAAGCGTGCATGCCGTACTGACTATGGGCTAACCCATGGCCCAATTTTTGAATTCGGGCCGAAATCTTGATCTTCTCTAAAACTGCGGCTATAAGGGTAATTATAGGCGCTGATTACGAATCTGACGTCCATTTTTGATGGAGGCGCGATATTGTGCCATTTTAGCCTCCTCGGGCACCAACTCGGCGCCGCTTTAGCGCCATACAATTTTCGCCCCAATTCTGGGCAGAAAGCTAATCAGAAAGGTTGATGATGACCCTGATTGTAAGAACAGTACCTATTTTTATCGGCGGCAACATTTGGAGTCATTTAACATGCGCTAACATGAAATGCAAAATTTTGTCATCAGCCGGGACCGATCCCTCGACCAATTTTTCATACCTTTTTTGGCACTCACAGGGCCGCTCAGAAAAAATGGAGCATAGTTAATTTGTAGCTCCATACATGGTGCCCCCAATTTATCAAAATCTGATCAAAAAATGCGTTTTAAATAGTGCTCCAATGTCCCTGAAAAACTTCCGTAAGTCCCCGTAACTCTCGCTCTCTGAAACAAACAAGTTTAGAAGTTGTGTGGCAATCATATAGGTATTGCCATTTCCTGATCCCGGTATTTCTACTAGGGTAAACGTAATGATCTACAGAATCATTAAAGACAACTGGGAAAGGGGGCGAAAGTGTGTAGTGGCAAGTGCACGCTTACCACACTACAGCGGCCTGGGGGAACCGATCCAGTCGTGAGTCGCCCGGGCCAACCAAGCCTTCCATCCCTCCGGGTTCGGTTAATTGGTACCAGACTTGTCTGGGAGGATAAAAACACTGACTTGAACATCGGCTGGCCCCCGCAAGTCATTGTATAGGCCACATCGCATTCAAACGCCACTACGCGAATGTACAAATGGAAGTAGAATGCGTGCCGCATCCCAAAAAGGGATTGATCAACGGCAAATGCTTTATCCTTACCCTTTAATGATATTACCCTTTTATTGTGCATAAAACTCAAAAATTTCACATTAATTACATTACATCAAAACATTAAAAGGAATGTAAACAAAGAGCGCTCACTAATTTATCCTACTATATACAGGGTGGCACAGTCTCTGAGTGTATGATTAGAGGGGATACCAACCCGAGATTCCATACAAAATCGGATACCTGAAAGGCCCTTTCTTCGGGCTTGCATGGCAGTCGCAAGAAGGGAAAGTGAAGAGCCAGCAAGGTAGCAGCCATTTTAGCCATAGAATAATATGACAAGGGTAAGCGTACTAGTCATAGGTCTCAGTGGAAGATATGATAAGATATAAGTGCTTTCCCGCACTCTACTTCGATTAGATAGGGTGCCCACCCAATTCACATTTTCACCAAAAAGAAACAATAACCTATTTCAATGATAGTTAGGAAAGAAGTCTGACCAACTGTATTTCAAAGCTTCCTCTAATGGCATGCTGTTACCTGTGCACGAAAGGCGAACTCCGCAGTGAGATTTCGCATGTGTGATTCGTCTGAGAAGCCGAATGGCATTGACATCATCACACTTTTTTGGAATAATCTAAAAAGTGAGCTATGTAGTAATAGAAGCACAATTTTCAATACTATAGGATGTTCCACAGCCACTGCAACAAAAATCACATCTTAATTTTACTGTCGATTACAGATTGTTTGACTATTTCGGCATCATTGCTTTCCTTAAGCCCTTCTAAATGAATCTGCTTTATTTCACGACATTTTTTCAAACTCGTGTTCAAGGGATGCTCAAACGCATGACGTGCTATCCCTCAGGGAGATCGCTTATTTCCATCATGCTGATCCGATCAAATCTTTCAGCTAATTTTAACCGACATTCGATATCCAACCTCCACCCTCATCACCCTTGAGGTTCTCGCCATCCCTGCACAAGCGTTCCAAACTATCGCTGCACTGCACATTCTTTGTGAATGCAAGAGGAAACGAAGAGCTTATATCATATCATATTAATTTCGCTCCTTTCTGGCTAATTCGAAGTAGAAGAAGAAAATCGTGATAATTCGTTCGTTGAGCATGATGTATTCAAATTTCAGAGCAGAGCTCTCAGTTTCCTCAGATAGAAGAAATGCGCTTTCCAATGACGTGCAAAACATAGCAATGTGGTAGTCTGCAGAATTAGTTCAAAGCGACATAATGGATTGGAAATGGGACTGGTCAGAAACGGTTGGAAACTTTTCCTTTACAATTAATAGAGTAGTATTATTTGAGTGAGATAGCTCCGACCCATGAGAGTGAATTAGTTTGGATCAATCCATTCATTCACATTAAGATGAAATTTCAGCATTCTGCTGACTTTTTAGCTGGAGAAGAGTGTAACCAATTTTGCCGCTAATGCATGGTAAGGGTGCAGTGGTCGCGATGGTAACCGCATAGATCTCCTTTTCGTTAAATGGGGAAATAAGCCCCTGTCCCTTTAGTCATGTTTTGAGGATACCGTATTTGTATATCTTAGTGCCTACTTTGGAGGGTTAATGAAGTGTTAGAAATGAAAAAATAAACTTAAACAATGGTAAACTCTTAATATTGTGCGTCCGGAGATAACATTGAACCGCGCATTCATTTTCTCTCCCCTCATACAGACCATAAATATTGTATAAACAGAAGCAGCGACCCAAATTTATATTCAAAAGATTCAAAATTTTCTGAACTTTTGGAATTCTTTTGAAATTCAAATTTATTGGTGCCTCTTCATTGTTTACAATTAATGGTCAACTGCCTCCAGAACGTTTCATTAGGTCGATTTCTTAAAGGCAACCCTGGGATTAAACTGGTGCTATTAGCGCTTCGTGGTGATAGCTTAACTGCGGTACGAACTGAAAAAGGGAAGGAAAGCAAGAGAAGTCTTTGAGAACGCTGAAACTGAGGCCTTAAACTTCAGTAAGGTCGGATGTGGTAGTTGGGAGACAGGGGGTCCAAAAAGAAAATAGCGAAGAGCATTTCGTTCGAGGAAGCAATTCAATCTCTCGCGTAGTGGGAAAAGCGATGCTCGGTCGATGATTTGTCAGACCTTGACCAGGGTCAACCGTCCGTTGGACAAAGTCCAACGCGACGACGAGAGTAATGCCGAGAGTGAACGTACGCACGGAGACACAGACGGCTCGCGGGTGGCGAGAGTGAATGCCGGCGCGGAGAGCGGTCAACATCGGTCCAACGTCGCTCCAATATCGGTCCAACGTAACGGTTAATGACCCTGCCTGAAGTTATGCTTCACCGCGAATTTTAGGACGAAGCTTATGAACTAGGTAGACTACGGCTTGATTTCCCTGTGGTATCCGCTCGAGTCGGCTATCCCGGTTTGCCTTTAATTCACAGCCATGAAAAAGTGGCACAATATGGTCTCCAAATGAGCGTAAGGTTACAGGTGAAACAAACTTCGAATGTGGGTCGATCTGTTTCGAGAATGAAAATTGCGCCGCCGCAACAGCTCCACTCGAGTGACCCATCACAGCAACATTGTTAGGATCTCCACCAAAACACTGAATTTCCTTCTGAACGAACTCCAATGCAGCCAGAAGGTCTAAAAGGTTTCAAATAAGTGCTTATTTAGCACAAGAAGAGTTGCAACGCTCGTACCGTACGCCGCTATATTTCTAGGAACGATATTATCTGATGCAAACGTTAGTAGTCCAAAAAATCCGAGTCGCACTCCCGGGATCACCAGAACAATTCCTAGGGAAATAGCGATAAAGAAAGATGTGTTTGGTGTATGTAATTACTTACAATCTTTGAAACTAAAAAAATACCATTCCCTCCAAAATTGTTAATCAAAGCATCATCTTTAAACATAACGGCTGAATCGTAGTTGAACCCGCCGCCGTGAATGTAGAAAGCTACTGGACAAGCTTTTACCTGTGAACAAAATCAATTGTGCGAAGGGATGACCATCCTTTTTCCCACTTCCAAAAATTTACGACGTCTTTCTTGGGGGGGGGGGAGGAGGGGAAGTCTCATACGAGATCTGAAGGTCCTACATCCTACACTTGTTACTCGTTACTTACTTCATCGCCTTTTTCCTCCCGATAACTGCAAGTTGTTGAGTGTGGCCATATTTCCAGCCCGTTCTGGACAGGGACACCCACCGACGGTTCTACGGAATTCTTCTTCTTCTTATTCTTTAGCGTTTGTCCCGCTTGTTGGCGGGGTCCGCTTTTCTGATGTGTTGACGCCACTTTTCCCGATTAAATGCTTGATCGGGGTGTTAACTGACTTCAAGTCTCGTGCAACGTATCGAGCCATCGCTGCTTCGGGCGCCAGAAGGC